AAAAAAAGGGAGCCGGGGGGAAGACTGAGAAACTGTCAGATTGGAGGAAAGTAAGGAGACATGGTGACTAAACGTAATGTGCAACTCTGTATTGGATTTTGGAACAATAACAAAAAGGACATAAGTGGAAAAATTGGTGAAATCTCAGTGAAGTCTATAGTTTAATGAACAGTTTTGTGTCACTGTTAATCTCTTAGCTTTGATAATTGTACAATAGTTACTTAAGATGCTAATATCAGGGAAAATTGGATGAACGCTCTATTCTATCCTTTCCAACTCTTCTGTAAATCAAAAGTTTTCCAAAATTGGGGCGCCTGGGTGGCTCAGTTGGTTGAGTGTCTGCCTTCGGCTCAGGTCATGATCCCAGGGCCCTGGGATCAAGCCCCACATAAAGGGCTTCCTGCTCAGCGGGGAGTCTGCTTCTCTCTCTCTGCCCCTCCCCACTGCTCCTTCTCTCTCTCTCAAATAAATAAATAAAATCTTTTAAAAAAAGTTTTCCAAAATAAAAAAGTTATAAAAACAAAATAATGTTGCACAAAGATGTTGGTAGTCCCCAAGGAAATCTCAAAGCCAATGAGAACTCACCCCTGCTGTATAGTTCTAAAATATCCACTGTCAAAATTAAGCCTTCAGGTCTCAGATCTGGTTTACTTGATATTAGTCCATATTGATCCTTCTAACAACCAAGAAGGTGAAGTCAGATATTCACTGCAATGCCTATTGTACAGATGAGGGAACCGAGACACAGATAATAGTACCCACCTTCTCACTGAACACATGGGAGGACTGTAGCCCAGAGAAAGGGAAAGGTTTGCCCCTGGTCACACAGGTTAGGGGGCCAGCCCAGGACTAGAGCTTCTGTCTTTCCATCCTTAAAACTATCTTGGCTGCTATTTCAGGGCAGCTGCAGACAAAGCTTAAATTTGGACTATTTGAGAAGGCAAAGGAAAGCAAAGGAGAATAATTCTCATCTTGCCCCCACCCCCTTCTCACCTTTGAGTTAAGCAATAAAGCTGAAAAGATCCTTCAACAAACAAATCCCTTCTCATTATAGAATCCACGGGCACATCAGCTCTTAGGAAACCTGAAAGGCAAGCTCCTTAGGAAGGAGGGCTGTTCGTACACGCCTGTCCAGGTGCCCTCTTCCCTGTTCACTCTCAAGGAGGCAGACTGTCTGCTTCAGGAGCAACAGCTCACTGGACACTCAGGTTCCCAGACCCCCATGGCTGGGCCAGCTGGGGCTGGTGGGAGCAGTAGGCTTCCAGGAAGGCACCCTGGCCAAGGCACAGTCTACACTTACCTATTTCAGAGTTGGATTCATTCTCAATGTTGGAAAATGCTCTGAAGTGTTCGTCGCTGATGGGAAAAGGCATTTGTGGGGTCAGGCCCATGTGGGTGATCAGATAAAGATTGTTGCCACGCCAGAGGATGAGCCCTTTTTTTCTTCAAACAAAAAGTGAAGCCCCATTGTCCCTTTCAAACTGTGAGAAAACTGGATTAGTAGGAAATGGTTTTGCTCCTGAAATTGGGACCAGGAACTTTGGGCAAGGTTTTGGCTGCACCAAGAGGTGGAATTGCTTTAGAGAAGGAAAATGTTTGCTTAAGTCATAGAAAGGCAGAGAAAAGACCCCACTTGGGCCATCCTATTTGAGAGATGGAGACTGCTTTCTCCATTTGCATAAACAAAATATTAAAGCTTTTTGTTCGAGAAGCCTATATCTCAGGGGAAAGGAATGCAATCATTCCAGTAATTAACAATTCCCCCCACAATTGTGGTTTGCATCATGCGGGATCTTCTCATTTTGATCCTCTTGGTTCCCAGAAAATGTAGTGTTTCTTCTTCAGGGCCCCATGGCGAAGAGATGGTATTGACAAGAAGACTTTGCATACCTATGATGTCAGAGTCCAAAGTTTCAACTCTTAGCTGATCAGCTTTTAAGATATATATAAAAAAAATACAGTATAGTTCAGGGAAAGATTCTGGGTGTTGCTGTCACATCAACCTGGGCTTGAATCCTGGTCCTACTTCATAGCTATGTTACTGATCTCTACAGTATTGGTTAACTTCTCTGTATCTTTGGTTTTTCCTCTTTAAATTGGCATAATAACTCGTCCTTAATGGCATTGGTGGGAACCACCCCCCAGAGAGTTCTATCATATAGGAGCCACTCAGAAGATATTCTTGTTAAATACCTCTTGACTATCTTCTCTCTTAATTTACTCTTAAGTAGTCTTGTTTTCCAGGGATATGTGTTGACCAATGATTCCCTTTTATTTCTCTCAGATAAGTAAGAACTTATCTCTGCCTTTTTTTTTTATAACTGCCATATGGAGCTATAGAATGTAATTTTAATAATAGCTTTCAAAACATGCAGATTAACCAGAACTTTATACTCTGAGCAAGCCAATCACAGTATAGTTCTCTTTACCTCTTCTTTGTAGGAATCACCACCATTTTGAGTGTCTAATTGTGAAATGAATTGTTCAGTGATCATTTGTCTTACTGGAATGTAAGCTTTATGAAGGTAGGGTTAGTAGGGACAGTGTCTGTCATGTTTATTGTTAATAACCCTCATATGAAGTTCTGGCTAGCATGTGTGTGTGTGTGAGAGAGAGAGAGGTCCAATAAGTATTTGAATGAACAAATGAATTAATGAATAAACTTTGGAACAAAACCAATCAATAAAAGGAAGATGTTTCTATTTTGGAAGGGAAATATTTCACATGATATTATGGAAGATGACACAGTGCATTGGCTTTTACTTAAGTTTTGACTGAATTGCTTGTGACAGTTTAGCCATAAACCATGAGAGATGACTATAGGCATATCACTAGAACTGATGGCTTCAAATCCCGAGTCTGTCACTTCCTAGCTGTGTGGCTTTAGACACCTAAGTCCTTTTATACCTCTGGGCCTCATTTTTCAGCCATAAAATGAAAAATAATCTTTATCTCAGGGCTTTGCTGTGAGTATTACAGATAATATAAATGATGCTTTAACAAAGTGCCTGGCACATTGGACATGTTTGGCAAAGACAGCGCCTTTGAGAGGTACTACAACATAGTGGTTAAGAACACAGCTTTTGGGGTCATAGTGCCTGGGTTCAAATCCTGATTGCATTATTTGTTAGCTGTGTGACTGCACAAGTTATCTAACCTCTTTGTGACACTTTTTTTCTCATCTAAAAATGGAGATGATGATGATGATGATACCACCTACCTTTTATGGTCACTGTGAGATTTAAATAAGTTAATATAGGTAAAATGCTTAGAGCAATGTTTGGGGGCTGGGTGTGTATACACACACATACGTTAAGCATTAAGTGTTGCTGTTATTCTTTGATAAGAAATGTTTATCCTTTGAGGATATAGTCATTTTCAGAAGCAGCCAAAAGTTAATCTCAGCCATGTAGATGATCAAGCTGAGAAATAGAGTTTTTTGGTAAAAATAAAGTGTTTTATTTGTTCACTTGGTTACTATTTCTTTAGCCCTAAATGTCAGTAGCCAGGAAATCAGGCATGAATGGGACACTACGTTTGCTCTTGAGGGGTCTCTGGCCAGGCTGAGGAGACAGATATATATAACAGCAGTTGCAGGAAAAGCCAGAAAGAGCCTTGGAGCAGGAGATAGGAGGGTTGAATTCTATTTCCAGCTGTGCTTTGAGCCTGATGTGTGGTCTTGGACAAGTCCAGTTCCCTCTCTGGGCCTTTGTGCCTTTGTGTTGGAGGAGTTAAATTTGATGCAATCTGTGGAACCATCCTGTTTTGTGGTCCTTGGATATTATGACTTTTTTTTCAGTAATATGGTGCTGCTTCCACAGTTTCCATCTTTTGAAGCCTGTGCGGCCTCTACAGGAAGGTGTGTGAATTCCACCTGCTGAGAGGTTTCCAGACTGCCAGCCCCACCAGCCAGCCTTGAGTAAAGGCCTGTCTTGGCCCTGAGGAGGGAGTCAGAAACCTGCTCCCTGCCCTCACTGTGCCACCGTCTGGGCCTCGGAACCCCATGTGTACAGTAAAGGGGCTCTGGTCAGAGGTCTCCAGGGTTCCTTCAACAGGAAGGAACATGGGACAACATGAGGGGATATTTTCTAGCACAGCCTTTTACAAACTGTTTAGGGAAACATGACATTCTGTGGGATGTGAATAGCATTCAGTAAAGCAAAAGATGATGGTGGGGAGGGGGTTGTTCCAGCCTTCAGTATTTAGTTAAATTTAAATAAGAATCCTCAGATGTTTAACATGTTAATTACACCTTGAATTTCCTCAAGAGACAATGCAGTAGACAGACAAAAGTAGGCTCACAAAGTGGCTGAGAGCACCAGCTAGGTTTTGAATCTTGGTTTGCTGCTTTCTAACTGTGTGACCATGCGGAAATTCACTAGCGTCTCTGATCTGCAGCTTTAGCATTGTTGTGGGGATGAAATGCAGCATTGCACGCAAAATGCTCTGCACTGTGCCTGAAATATAATCACTCAATACATGCAAGATCATTATTATATTGCCCATGTGGCTCTTTTGTGGAGAAATAGTTAGAAGCATCTCTTAGGATGCTGGTATTCCATGAACCCAGTGTGGGAAATACTGATTGCTCTGCTTGTTTTGAGCACTATGGTGCCTTGTCACCCTGCCATCGGAAGACTCGTGTAAGCACCTACCCTACCTCTTAATCGAGTTGTGCTGAACACAGGGTTTCAGGACATGATGGGCACAGAGCTTGGGCACTGAGCACAGGGTCCTGAAAACTCAGATGAGCCCAAAGAAGGGTGAGTAGGCAGGTGTCGGGGCAGCAGGGGCATCTGAGAGGTAATTGTAAAGGATGAGGCTGGAGAGGTGGGCTTGGGGAAGGTCATGGGAGGCCCCGAGGCCAGGATGAAGAATTGAGGCTTTGCCCTGTGGTGTCAGAGGATTGTGCTGGAGGTGTTTGGGCACAGGTGCTTGCTCCTCAGTGCCCCAAGGTACTTCCCCCTGCTCTGTGTTGTCTCATCTCCTCTGCCCTAGGCCTCCAGGGAACATCTGGGAGGGGAGCAGCATGAGCATCTGGACCAGGAGGCAGGAGACACAGGTAAGAGCGTTGGCCCCCTCTCAGCCCTGGGTTCCCAGGGCACGGCCCTTTGCCTCTCCATGTCTCAACTTCCACTTCTGTGAAATGGGAGAATCACCCACCATTCCTGAGCAGCCTAACCCACAGAGGTGTAGTGACGGTTCGGTGAGATAAAGTATTTCAACAAGCACTTTAAGTTGAGATCCTACTGTGTGCCAGGCCCTGTGTTTAGGCCTGGAGAAGACTGGGAGGAACAACATTGATCTCTGCTTTGGAGGGCAGAGTGTGCTGGCTTATAGTACAGTGAGATAAGTGGTATAGTCAAGTTAAAGCCATGAAAGGGCCCTTCGTCCAGTGTGGAGGTGGGAAAGGCTATGAGAGGAGGGAGGCATTCAGGAAGGTTCTCCAGAGGGGGCGATGCCTCAGCTGAGTCCAGGCACCCCTGGTAGTTAGTGGATGAAGAAAGAAGAAGTAAGGTTCCAGGCACCAAAAGCAGTATGAACAAAGGTACGGAGGAATGAAATGCCATGGTCTATATGGGCAAGCGAGTAGCAAGTGGTATTATTAGGGCACTAATAACATTTGAGCTATGGAAAGAGACTTGGTGGATACTGCTGGCAGGAACAATGCCTGCATTTAAACAGAGAACATAGTCTAAAGCTAAAGAAGAAAAGCTCTAACTGGACAATTTTGGGAATTAGCTAGTATAAAGCTTTGTTGGTGCCCCCTGAAATTGTCCCATGGGTCTCTATGATAGGTCACATCAGTGGTGTTGGGCAGACTGCAGGCCTTGAATGCCAGGCTGAGGGGTTTACTCTGTAGCCTGCAGTCTAATGGAAGAATTAGCCATAAAAGCCAGGGGATTTAGAACGGAATCCTTGGCATTCTTTGCATGTGCAGGGCTGGCTAGGCAAGGAGGTTCCCAGAAGAAAAACAGAGAGACCTTTGCCCTCCGCCTGCACTTAGGCAAAAAGTAGAATTAGGGTAAGGTTGGCTGAGTGATCTGGCTATTGTGCCTGCCTTTGGGCTTCAGCATCCAATCTCTCATAGTGCAGGGGGCTTAAGGCATGCCGCTCAGGAAGCTAGGTGGTAAGCTCTAGCCGCTGCTGGGGCTTTGGGGAGCTATTGCACGCAAAAAAGCCTGAGCCATGGAATTAGTCCTGTTGTTACCCAGAGAAAGGAACTTGGCTGTCCTTCCCCAGCTGAGAATATATGCTATCCAGCCTGCTGCCATTGGGGGGAGTGTCTCTCAGCCTACTCCATGAGCCCCCTGAGCCTTGGAGCTTTACAGTTGAAATCTCCCATCTCAGGGCCTCTGGGGGTGGAGAGAAGCAAGGGTTGGGGACACAGGGCCAGGCTCTGGCTCTAACCTACTATGTGACCGTGGGCAAGTCCATTCACCTCTTTGAGCTTCATTTTGCTCATTTCCAGAGTGAGGAAAGTCCTCCAAGGGCCGATACGAGCATTAAATAAGATAATGTGTGTGGGAGGGCTTTGCAGTGGAAGAGGTATCATTATCTTTATTAAAAGAGGCAGAAGGGAGAGCAGAAAAGCAGGATGATGAATGGAAATGTGAATGCTGCCCTATTACTTGATAATCTTAAGTTATTCCAAAGTTTTATGGCATAGTAAGGGTATTTTGGCTATGTTTTTTAAATTAAGTTTATCAAGGGCGCCTGGGTGGCTCAGATGGTTGAGCGTGTCTGCCTTTGGCTCAGGTCATGATCCCGGGGTCCAGGGATCGAGTCCCGCATGAGGCTCCTTGCTCAGCGGGGAGTCCGCTTCTCCCTCTCCCTCTGCCTCTCCCCCCTGCTTGTTCTCTCTCTGTCTCTCTTGCAAATGAATAAATAAAATCTTTAAAAATAAAAAAATAAAATAAAATTAAGTTTATCTCTTAAAGGCACATACTGAAATATTTATGGACAAAACTATATAACATCTGAAATATTCCTCAAAATAAGGAAAGGGTGATATGGGTAGGGATGGAACAAGATTGGCCAAGAGTTGGTTGCTAAAGCTAGGTGATAGGTACATGGGGATTCATGATGCTATTCTGTCTACTCTTCTATGTTTAAATTTTTCCATAGTAAAAAGTTAAATTAAAGAGCATGGCATTTAGAGTCAGACTGACCTGTCTTCACCACTTAATAGCTGACCCAGGGAAAATTACTTCCCCACTCTGATCTCTCTACTCATCTATTAACAAGTATACTAATAATAGTACCTGCTTCGTAGGGTTCTTACAGAGACCCCATGTGCTAATGCATGTAAAATGCTTACCCCCGTGCCTGGCACACAGTAGTACATGCAGTAAATTATGATTCCCTTCCCTTCCCCTCTAGAGATCTTTATCAAACATCATCTGTCACCCCCGTGCCCTGCTGGGTGCAGCCAGACTCTCTGGACTAGAGTCTGTCTCAGGTGGAGGAAGATGATCATGCCCCAAGGTTTTCTCCAGTGGTTGTTGAGCAGTCAGCATGCTGGGCTCGGTTGAGGGAGGCAAAGGGAGCTAAGGTGGTGTCCCCACCCATCCTGGGAGAAAGGGAAATGGGTGAGGACAATGCACTCGAATTGAGCATTTTCTCTATACTGGCCATAGAGCTTTACAACCACCCTGTGAGGTCAGGGCTTTTACTCAGAGAAGTTAAGAAACTTACAAGTAGTTGCACAGCTAGTGAGTGAAGAGGAAAGAGGAAGAATGGAAGAAACAGAGAGCAGATAAGCATAGAGGGGGTGGAAAGAAAGTGACTCCAGAGGAATGGTGAGGAGATAGGAATGGAGTGAAAGAGGAAGAGGATGAATGGGGAGAAAGAGGCACCAAAGGGCATGGAGCGGGGAGAAACCAAGGGAGGGGAGCAGAAGTGGCCAGTCCCTCTCCTCCTCCCAGTCCCTCAGGTGATAAAATGACTCCAACACTGTCAGCCTCTGGACATGAAGGGTGGGAGATGGGAAGACCAAACCTGTCTCCCTTGGGGGTCCCATTTTCCCTAGGAACCAGACGCCAGTCAGCACTGCAGGGTGGACAGCGCCCGGGCCACACCCCAGCTGGGCCAGCATCACCCTTCCTCTTGGATCTCTCTTCCTCATGCTGGGTCTGAGCCCCACAATCAGCGCCCTCTCACCTCCTCTCCTTTAAGAGACTCTTCTCAGTGGGCTTAGGACCTGATCTGAAGGACCAGGCAGGCTGGGAGTGAGGTATGGTCTTTGACCAACCAGCCCTGGGTAGATACTGGGGGCTTCCCAAGTAGCGTGAGAGTAGGACCCTTCCCACACAGGCTCAGTGTACTTGGAGAGTTAGGACAGATGAGCATGAAATCCTTGTAGAGCAATAGGAAGCATCTGGACTAAGAAGAAGCTACTATTCTTGGAGCCTCACTGAAACCCAGCCCTTTCACTCATCAGCTGTGTGACCTTGGGGGCAATCTAATCTCTTCATTTCTCTGGGCCTTGGTTTCTACATCTGTAAAGTGCAGATTACATGGCTGCCCTGCCTGGTTCTCAGGAGCTGTTGAGCATATGTAGGATAATGCGTATAAAGCACTTTTTGATCCTTGGCACCCTGCACACACACAAGCTGTCATTCCTGGGTGCCAGCCTGGGTGATGCTGAATTGTGTTTCTCTGTCAGGCTGGGGTTTTTATCCAGGGATTACACAAGAACCTCTACATGAGGCAAGTCCCTTGATCTTCTCGAAGTCACTCTTGATATTTTATCTCTTGCTTTGTTCAGCGGTGAAGACACACTTGCTCAGTTGTTCTTAGTATGTAATATGAGGGAAAAATGTGTATTTTTTGAAGAATAGATGTGTGTCCTTTTTATCAGAAAATGAAAATTATATAATCCATCTAGATTCTCTTTTAGCCACAGCTACCGGGAAGCTCGGAGTAAAACTTAAGTTCAATAATAACAATATAGATGGTTATTGTACAATTTTCTTCCTCTCCTTTTAACCTGATTTTAATTTTTCTACTGCTTTCAGGCTGAGTTGCTGCCAAGCTGGTCCAAAGACAGGAACCACATTAATAAGCCTGAAACACTCCATTCTATCAAGAGTGACACCGAACAGGGAGGTAGGATACACTTTATATCTGTATTAGTTTCCTCTGGCTGCTGTAACCAAGTACAACAAACTTAGTGGCTTAAAACTATAGCAACTTATTCTCTTATAGTTCTGGAGGCCAGAAGTCCCAAAATAAGGTGTCGGCTTGGCTGCAGTTCCTCTGGACTCCATGGGGGAGGGGGATGCATTCTTGGCCTCTTCCGACTTCTGGTGGCTGCCAGCATTCCTTGGCTTGTGTCCGCATCACTTCAATCTCAGCCCCTGTCTTCACATAATTTTTCCTCCCCGTTTTCTCCTCTGTCTGTGTAAAACTCCCTGTTGTTCTCTTTTATGAGGCTGCATGTGATTGCATGTAGGGCCTACATGGATAATCCAGGGTAAGCATCTCCTCTGAAGATCCTTAACTTAATCACATCCTTTGCCAAATAAGGTAATATTCACAGGTTCCAGAAATTAGGATATGGACGTATCTTTGGGTCCACCATTCAGCCTACCACTCCATCTGAGAACCCTAAATGCATAGAATCCTCCACTGTCTCTTGTTCATTGTAGTACTTAGTGGTTAGGAGCAAGATCTCTGGGAATCTGACCTCTGGGCTCCCATCCTAGCTCAGTTAGCTACTGTGGGGTGTTGGGCAAATTCCTTCATATTTCAGCACCTCAGTTTCCTGCATGAAAAATTGAAGATAGTATCTCCCTTGTAGGGTTGTAATAAGGATTAAACAAAATACTCAGTGAAAAATACATAGTATAGCACCTGGCACATAGTAAGCACTCAACAGATGTTAGCTATTATTAGAGATGGTAGTTTTAGCATATGTCTACAAATTCTTTAATATTCCTCCCTTCATGGGGTGGAGCTTAATTCTCCTCCTCTTGGGTACTGACTGGACCTAGTGCCTCATTTCTAATGAACAGAATAAAGCAAAAGTGACCATGTGTGACTTCAGAGTCTAGATCATAAAAGAGGCCACAGCTTGCTACTTGCTGTCTCTCAAATCACTCGCTCTGGGGAAGCCAGCTTGCAGGTCTCCAGCCAATAGTCAGCAGTGAGTGATTTAGGAAGAGGATCCTCTGGCCCCAGTCAAGCCACTGGATGTCTACAGCTCTGACCAATACCTTGATTGTAATCTCATGACAGACTCTGAGCCAGACCACCCAGCTAAGCTGCTCTTGGATCTCTGATCCACAGAAGCTGTGAGACAACAAATGTTGTTTTAGGCCACCGAGCTTTAACATAATTTCTCACACAGTAACAGCTAACTAATTATTATTACTTATCTTTAAACATTAATTATCTATTGCATGCCAAGCAAGAGGAATTACAGGGATGGCAGACTACCGGCCCTCAAGGAGCATTCAGTCTGGTGAAATGTCAAATGATGTTTGGAATAGAGTATGAGAGAGTGCCAATGAATTGTATAGCATAGACAAGTCTGAAAAAAGTCTTTTTTTTAGACAGCATTCTGTAAAGGGGGCTGCTGATCCAGTTGGGCCCATCTGGAGCACTAGAATATAGGCTGACATTCAGGCAGAATCCAACCAGTCTGGAAGTCTATGTATAACAGTACCTGGGGGGACTTTATGAAGGAAAAACCTCAGTCACTCTTTGAAATTACACACTAGAGCTAAATATACACCTATCCTATGATCCAGCCATTCCACTCTTGAATATATACCACAGAGAAATGTAGTTCACCAAAAGACAAGTACAAGGGTATGTATTCCTAGCAGCATTATTCATAATACCCCTAAACTAGAAATGGCCCAATGTCCATAAACAAATTGTAATATATTCACACAAGGGAGTACTTCTCAGCAATAAAAAGGAACAAACTACTGATATATGCAACAACATGGATGTATCTCAGAGACATTACTCTGAGCAAAAGAAGTCAGACACAAAGGAACATACATGTTTACACCAAGATCAAGATCTAGGACATTTCTAGTACTTCCCTGTATTCACATAATAATATCTCAATCAAAAAAATTTTAAGATAAATGGAACCACTAAAAGAGAATGAGGTGTATTATTAAACAAGAATTACATATATTTTAAATATATTTATGCCTAAGTGTATATGCAACATACTATAAATTGATGGGCTGTGACAAATACCCAGCTTCTTTTTGTTTTGTTTTTAAAGATTTTATTTATTTATTTGACAGAGAGAGAGCACGAGTAGGCAGAGCGGCAGGCAGAGGGAGAGGAAGAAGCAGACTCCCTGCTGAGCAGGGAGCCTGATGTGGAGCTCAATCCCAGGACCCTGGGATCACGACCTGAGCGGAAGGCAGACGCTTAACCGACTGAGCCACCCAGGTGCCCCAAATATCCAGCTTCTTGATGGAGGGTCTCACTGGCTTAGCTGTGTGACTGACTAAAGCAGTACTTCCTAAGCAGGGTATACTGGAGTACTGAAAAAATGTAAACTCAATTTCAGCTACAGTAAGTCCTGATGTAGTTAGAAGATTAAACTGGAGGAATTATGGAGTACAACTCACTGAGTGAGAAGTAAGCACAAGTAACAAGGGGTCATCTTGACATAGGATTACACACAGAACTCTGCTTTGTGGGTGTGTAAGGGAATAAGCCTGAGCAGCCATCGGTTCTAGTAAATGGTGTCACAAGGTTGAGGGGCAAGCAAGTAAACCCTGCAAACCTGGCAGTACAGTATAATCCCTTCAGGCATGCCTCTAGAAACCCTAGTATTGAGAGGGTGTCCCAATCTCCAAAGATCAAGAATGACTCAACTAAGGAAGGGCCTCCATTCAGGTCTGTTCTGGGCCTGTCTTGTCCCACATCCATACATCTTCCTCTGGACTCCATTCTGGGCCACCTGCAGGAGGGTAATACTCTCTTATCTCAGGGAGTTTATTAACATTTGAAGAACATCTTTAGGCATGTTGTAGGACATTACTCAAAGTTCAAGTGTAAGCCTTTGTTAATTGATTCCTAGAGAAGTTCTTTGTCCCCTCTTCCCTCTTCAAGATCCCTGCGCCTTGCCTTCAGTGTCCATTTGGGGGTTGCCTTCCTTGTCTACTATTGAAGCCAGGCTTGATCATGTGACTTGCTTTGGCCAGCGGATGTTTGCAAATGTGATGCCAGCAGAGACTTCATAAGCACTACTTGCACAATTGGGCTTGCCCTCTTTCTTGTCGCTGGGAACCTGAGTCTACCATGTAAACAAATCCAGGTTAGCCTCCTGGAGGATAAGATCATGTCAAGAGAGATTCTAGCCATCCCTGCTGTTCCAGACATCCCAGCTGAGGCCCTGCACATGTGAGTGAGGCCAGCCCAGACCAGAAGAACTATCCACCCAACCTACAGACTGGTGAGAAATAATCAGAAGTTTTTTTGTTTTGTTTTGTTTTAAGCTACTATGTTTTGGGGTGGTTTGTTATGCTGCACAAGCTGACAAATACAGAGAGGATGATGCCATTTAGTAAGACCCTAAATTGGCTAGCCAGCTGAAGAAGAGGTGGTGGTCTGGGAGGGGGACATTCCTGGGAGAAGAGACAGAATCCGCAAAGGCACAGAGACAAGGAACAGTGTGGCGCATGTGGCCACCTCATGCTTTGGTCACTGGAGCGCAGGGGTAGAGGTGGGAAACGAAGAATGTAGTTAAAGGAGTAGGGAGGGGCTAGATCAGAAGAGCCTTCTATACCAGGTTAAGGAATTTCCAGGTGTCCTGAGGTCTATGGGGGAAACCATGGAAAGCTTTTAAGCAGTAAAGAGACATAATTAGATTTGCATCTTTGAAAATACCATAGCTGTTATTAATGGAGTGTTTACCGTGTTCCAGGTGCTTTCGATATGCATGGCAGAAACAGTGCCCAGGTTGCAGGGTGGAGAGTGGATTGGAGGTGGTCAGGAGGTGACAGGCAGACCAGCAAGGCGGCTCCTGTAGGGAACTGGGGAGAGTGGATGAAAGCCTGAACTGAGGGGGTGGCCCCTGGGATGGGAGAGGATGGGGCAGACGGGCGAGGTATTCAGGAGACCTACTGAATGCATCAGAGGGGTGAGGAAGGAGAAGGGGTCTGGGATGACTGTTGAGGGTCTGGCTTAGGTGGCTGTGGAGAATTTTGGAATCACTGGCATTGAGGATTCCCAGTTTCATATATACCCAGCTCCAAAGAGCTGAAGGGGGCTTGGTGACTATCTTACCCAATCCCCATTCTCTCTACCTCACTTACCATGGACAATGTTCAAGCTGCTGTAGATAGTCTAGGGCCAAACCATTTTTTTCTATGATTGGGGAATTATTTTTGTTACATTAGGAACTAGCACATAAGACCCATGATTTCACAGATATTATTGCTTAGCAAAGGGCCAAAGAAGTTGTTTCAGTTTAAAAAGTTGATAAAAAGAAAAACATTATCAGTGATGGTCCAGGTGTACACAGATATGGCTGAAATGAGGAATGAGTGAAGTTCAGGGCATTCTGCACCCCCTGGAGCACACATCTTTTCCACAGGATCCCAGATAGTGAAGGCCCATATCTTCAAGTGGGCAGATGGGACTGACCTGCAACAGAGCCCGGCTGTCTGGCCAGATCTGGCCTTGGCCCTTGGGAACTGACGAGAACATCTCTTTCTTTGAGTCACCTTCAAAGCCAAATGCAGCTTGTCCAGGTGAACAATTAGATGGTGGCTGTAAGAAGGTAGAGAAAATGAACATGCCAGTTCCTCAGAGGCCTTCAGGAGATGAACTTGTCCTCACCTGCCTGCCTGCCGCCTGCATCCTACCTGCCTTTCGTGCAGGTGTCTGCATTGTCCCAAGAAAAGACTCCTGCACTCAGGCTAAAACTTTGTGTGTGGATGCGGGGACCTTGTCTTGGTGGACACTGTAAGGGATGGCACCCATCATGCCCCTGGGAGCCCCAAGCTACCCCCTGTGCAGGTAAAGGGCAACCCGGGCACCTGTGAGTGTGCAGCCTCTGGCTTGGCAGACAGGCAGATGAGCTCTGCAGCCCCGCAGCCTGCCCAGGCTACCGGGTGGTGGATTCCCGCCTGGACACAGCCTTTCCCTGTGGGCTGGGCCTCCCTTTGTGCAAGGCCGCAACACAATGTGCATAATCCTGCAGACCTGCCCAGCAGAGGCGGGCGGGCAGGAGCGCGCTTGGTTTCCTGTCTTGCTGAATGGCTTGAATGGGCGCTGCGCCTGCTCTTAATCCCCCAGCGGCTGACTGTCCCAGCAGGGGGGCAGAGGAGGAGGGAGGGGAGGGTAGCAGCTCTCATGTCTCCAGGCAGGAGGCTGGCAGGGCCCTGCCCCAACAGTTCCTCCTACCTTTCTGGGGCAAGACATGGGACCAGCAGTGACCCTGCTTGCTGGCACCCTCTTGGGACCCTCTGCCCTTCTCCTAGCACCGTCCTTGGCCAGAATTGGGTGTGCTAGGGTTAAAAGTGGGGAGCTAATGGTAGAGACCAGATTTGAGATCCCAGCACATCAGAACTAGAAGCACCCTTAGGAATTCCATTCCCCCCACTCTCATTTTACAGATGGGGTAACTGAGGCCCATATGGGTCAGGGACATGTCTAAGGTCACACAGTGAGTAAGTGGCAAACACAAAATAAGAAGCAAAGGCTCCTGATTTCAGTCTGGTGGGCTTAACAATAGTCCTGCAACTGTTTCCCAAATTGTTTCCTGCAGCACCCCTAACTGCTGGGGAACATTTAGTGCTCCTGACAAGAACTGCATGGTCGGATACACCAGGAAATGCTGTACATGCAAGAGCACATCCAGAAGCAGCGGCCTTGAAAAGTCCTGCGGTACACAAACTTGGAACTCTTTCCAAACTTACTTGGCAGTGCAGTTCTTTGTTCACACGGCATCTTTTCTCACACAGAGTAGTACTCTGAAACACACAAGCTGCAAATTCCGCACCAGACCCTGCTATAAACTCTCCAGAACATAGAGAAGGTATTTCTGTTTAACCTCCCTGGAGTTTATTCCACATGGGGGCCTAAAGATGGGCGGCATCTCATTTGAGATTCAGAATTGACCAATGTTTATTACCAGGTGCCTTCTACCTTAGTTGTCTCTGACAGCCCTGTTGGATGGCTAATAGAACCGTAACGTTACAATCATGGAAACTGAGGCACATGGTACTGAGTCGCTTAAAGTCACTCAGCCAACAGTCAGCAAAACTGGGTTTCAAGTCAAGGTCTGCCTAGCCTTAAATCCTGGGTTCCTGGTCTTCTGTCACATTCCCCTCTCCTCTTTTCATAATTTTTGATAATAAGCAAAAACATCACTGGAAATAAAAGAAAAAAGGTTAGGTTCACACCCCATTCCAACCTGATGCATTGTGTGCCCCAGGACAAGACCCCATTCCTGATTCACTGTATGACCTTGGACAAGAACTCATCTCTCCAGGTCTCATTTCCTCCCCCTTACAATGGGAGGGTTAGACAAGGCACTCAGTCCCTGTGGGTCTCTCCTGCTCAGCATTCCATGATCCATGATTCTGGTCCTCAGACCCAGGCACACATCCTACTGTGGGGTCAGTCCAGGAATGAGGTGACATGAAGCTGTGCTCGTAGGTGGCACAGGGACAGACCAGCATCTACCTGAGAAGGCAGGGCAGATGCCAAGTCACTCCTGGCATCTTATCAGAGCCATGGGAAACTGTCACTCAGAGCTCAGGGATGGAGTCAGCCTTGCATGGTGCTGGTTCTCAGTAGCATGACTTGTGACACCCTCACAGGCAATGACCTCCTTAGTGGGTGGTGGAGAAACCTGTAGGACAGGTGAGGGTGGGATCCCGGAGAGGGGCAGGCAGGTAGTAAGACAGCATTGTGGCATTCTAGACCTGACTTGGATTTCCTTTTTATGGGCGGCATTTGTCATAATTTGGCCAATAGGTCCACTCTCTTTTTAAAAGAAGGTAGTTGTCTTAATTTGGGTTAACCTAGAAGCAGACTCTAAGGCAAGGATTAAAGTGCAAGTAGTTTATTTAGGAGAAGATCCCAGGAAATGCCGCCAGGGATCATGGAAGTAAAGCAGGGCAGGGAGAGAACACAATGAATGACTTGTTATCATGCAAGTGACCCCTATTGGGCAACTGGATCTTGACCGTGCTGGGGAACCAGTGTGGTACATGTACGTGTTCAGCCTCAGTGTTAAGCCACCTGAGGGGCAAGGCAGCTGGAGTATGTATCCCCAACTTGGGTGTCAGGGTGTCAGCCACTGGTTAAGGATCATTTCCAGGGAGGGGGCTGTTCATTCCCAGCATGCCTGGTCTGCCCTGGAAGGACCACCAGGGAGAGCTCCTAGGCAGAGTGGCAGATGCTGAGGTCCCATGTGTCTGCCACAGAGGGTTGTGAGCCAGAAGCTGAGACACCTACACCTGGGAAGGGGTCTAAGCTCTTCCAAAAACTGCTGGGGCCTGGGCAGGGGAGGGGGAGGAAGGCTGAGTAAGTCATTTGCCCTCTTGAAGCTTCAGGTTTCTCATCCGGCAGATGGGAACGGAATCCCTGCCCTATCACACACAGGACCAAATCCTAAATTATACAAAGATGATGAGTATATACTTATCCCTCTCCAATCTATCCTCCCCACCTGCCTGCCCCAGTACCACATACCACTTCTCATTCACTTCAGCTAGGATTATCAGCGTTTTGGTCCTGTTAGCACCTCTACATCCCTCCTGCTCATCCTGGCCAAGGACCCATCCCCCTTAGAATGGGCAAGGACTTTAGATTTAGAAATTACGATTCTTAGGTTCAAGAGGGAGCAGAGTTATATGGGCCTGGAAAACAAGAGGTCTGGATGAAAATCTTAGTTCATTCATTCATTCACTTAATATTTATTGAAGACCTACCATACCCACAGATTGACGGTGCTTGAGGAAGAAGACACCGTTCCCAAAAGAGCTCTGTGTCCTTGGGTTGGCAGGGTGCCTTGCCCTCTCTTGGCTTGTCTCCCCACCTATGAAATGGGCCAGGTGGTTCCTGAGGTCCCTTCCAGCACTGTCATATTTTGCTTTAAGAACAACAGCCCCAATCTCCATGAGATCTGCGACCTGGCGTCCAGGAGGCATCCAGGAGGCCAGCACCCAGCTGTGTCTGGAGACAGTAGGCAGGGGCAGGGAAAGATCCACGATAGGCCCTCCAGTGAGACTGTCACCGTGCCTGGGCTTTGCCTGCTGTGAGCTCTGCGTAAGCTCTGCAAACAGCGGCTGAAGATGGTGGATTGGGGCAGCATTAAGCCGTATTAAGTCGAGCTGTTTCTACAAAGAGTATGTTTTAGGATAAACCTGGCACACCAAGAGGACGTAACACTTGTAAGAAGTGGCTTCATGCCATCCACAGCACCTAGCACAGAGAAGTATTCTCCATCTCCACCCACATACAGGACTCCCAAAGGAGAAAATTGCACAGCATCCTGGTCCTCTCTTTCTTCTAGCACATCCCCAGCCCCCTAGGCACATGACCCAGGCTGAGCCCGTTGGAGGACTCCATCCTCCTGGCTACTGTGATTGGTCCAGGGGTGATCATGTGACCCCAGCCAGGCAAATTGGTGTCCTTTCTTGGGATTTTTTTTTTTTTTTTTTTAAGCTGATGAGAAAGAATCCTTTCCTAATGGGTGATGAGGTGTGAGTTTAGAGCTGTTGGGAGTCATGTCCTCATCCATGGGGAAGCCTGTCTGTGGAAGGAAGGAAGGAAGCCAACAGTTAGAGATAAAAAGCTGAGAAGAGTGTCTTGGTGTTTGAGTTCCTGGTCCCAGACCTCCCTCCCTAAGGCCAGCCCCAGCCCTGCCCTTCTTGGTTACTTAAACCAATCAAATGCCTTCTTAAGCTGTATTAAGAAATAAAACTTACTTACTTGAGTTTTATTTCTATCATCCCCAAACAGGAGAATCCTCAGTGAGAACAGTACCTTCCGTTTATTGAGCTGACTGTGCACCAGGAGCGTTCCACTGCATCACCTCACATAATCCTGCACACGGCCACATGGGCCATGATTATTATGCCCATTTTACAGATGAGGAAGCTGTGAGGCAGAGGGAGACCCTTGTATCGAGTCACAGACGACAGTGATGTTGGAGCTAGCATTGGAGAGAATGGTGCAGAGAGCCTTACTTTTCTGCTTTTACCCAGCGAGAGCTTGAGTTTCCCTCATTGAAAACTCCCATGGGAGCTGTAGACAAGGCTGTGGGCAGGGAGATGGGGTAGAGTAGTTGCCCCACCCTCCAATGACAGAGGGTTCCCCCAAAGCCAGTGTAGACTGGAGGGGGCACCGGAGAGCTCAGGGCCGGCCTTGGCACTGGCAGTGAATCACTGAGCGACCTTGGGTATGACCATCACCACCTACTGTGCTTCCGAGAAAAAACAATAACAACCCCTCTTTTTTTTTTTTTTAGAGATTTTATTTATTTATTTGACAGAGAGAGACACAGTGAGAGAGGGAACACAAGCAGGGGGAGTGGGAGAGGGAGAAGCAGGCTTCCCGCTGAGCAGGGAGCCCGATGCGGGGCTCGATCCCGGGACCCTGGGATCATGACCTGAGCCGATGATCCGAAGGCAGACACTTAACGACTGAGCCACCCAGGTGCCCCAGTACAACCCCTCTTATTGAGCAGTTTTGTACGTGCGCTCATAATCACCCAACAGAGTAAGTACTATAGTCACCTCACCTGGCAGATGGGGAGCCTGAGGCACAAAGCAATGAAATCACACATCCAAGGCAACATGATGCACCAGCAAGTGGCGGAACTGGGATTTGAGCCCAGGCAGTCTGGTTCCAGAGTCCATTCTGTTAACTACCTCCCTATAGCCTCCCTTTCTTTTTTTTTTTTTTTTGAACAACACATTTATTATTGCAAAGTTCTGGAGGTTAGAAGTCCAAAATCAGTATCTTTGTTTTGAATCGTCAATCAGGGTATTCTCCACAATCCATTCCAGATTTGATGGGGAGGAGGTGGGGCACCCCAGACAGCATGATTCTGAGGTCGAAATCACTAATTTTATATTAAGATGAAACTAGAGTACACTTACCTAATCTCATTTAAAAGGCAGCCCATGTGGCTTATTTTATTATTTTTTAAAAAAGGAAAAAACCCCTGTTCTTTGCCATTTGTGTGGGCGGATTGGCTAAGCATGATCCCAGCAGGGTCTTCCCAGCTCTTTACAGTTTGTACAACCAGCTTCAGTGTCTCTGAATTCAGAGGATCCTCTGGTCAGGCAAAGAGAATCGTCTCCCATTTTACTGATGAGGAACCAGGGGCCAGAGTGGGGGAATCACTTGTTAAGTGTGTACGTGTGCGCGCGTGTCTGTGTGTGTGTGTGTGTTTCGGAGTGCATGGGCAGGAAGGGCCGCCGGTGCCCCTGCAGGCCTGGATCCCAGCTGGGAGAGGAGCTTGTCAGTTTCAATGCTTGGAGGGGAGGGTTCCGGCCCACTGCCCCTGTATGGAGTCACTCAGACTTAGCTAAGTACACAACAGCCAGGAGCCTGCTGTTGCAGCCACTGAAATCAGAGGGCAGCACAAAAATGTAGGTGTAGCTCCCTCCCTCCTACCCCCCTGCCCCTCTTCTCCTGCCTCCCACAGGGCGGAACTGCCTGGAACAGGCCTGGCCCAGCCAACGAGTCTGCACACGCAGCATCCAGGAACAACTGCAGGGCGGCTCCGGGGCACATGTTTCCACGTGCTCCCTGCCCCACATGCGTGCATGTACACGCATATGCACACACATGGCTTTCGAGGAGGTATACTTGGGAAAGGTGTGGGGCTCTGGGTTCCAGGCTGGCTCAGCCTTTGACATTTTGGTGACCTCTGACTCTTCCCTCCTCTAAGCTTTGACTCTCCATCTGTAAAATGGGCATGATGATGTCTACCTTCTAGAGCTGTTACAAGTATCCAAAAAAAGACAGCAGGACCTGAGAGCCCTGGGTCTGAAGGAGCCCTGGGAGACGATTAGCCTAATGCTTGCATTTCACAGACAGGGATACTGAGGCTCAAAGAGGGAGAGGGAATTGCCCAGATCACAAAGCAAGTCAGGCATAGATTGGCTAGAACACAGGCCTCCTGACTCCTGGGACCCATGCACCCAGCGCAAGGCTTGGCCATGGAAAGAGCGAAGTGCTGTCCAAGGTGAGTTCTTGTTCCTGCATCTGGTCATCCATGTAGATGTGATTTTGAGACCAAAATACTTTATAAATACCACTTATTAACACAAACTCACATGTACTCTGCTGGGGGATGTCCTTCTTTGTGAAATGTTAGCTCAGACAGGCAAACAAAAGACTTTATGAATCTCAGCTTGCTCAATGTCTTTGATTTGCTTCATACCTACAAGTTCATACTAAGCTTACCTATCTGCTGGGCTCTTGATTGACCCTATATCAATCGAGCTTTCCCTAAAAGATAAATTCCAAAATAGATGAAGACTCAGGGGAGCCAGGTTTTAGGGCCATTGGGAGTGTTTGCCCAAGTCCCTGACCCTCCACTTGCCCATTTATATATATATATATTAAAGA